TGTTGGGGCAAACTGCAAGAATCAAACCCATGTTTAACATGAATTGCTTCTCCACTCACTCTGATCACTCACTTGGTTCCAAAACACAGCGCCGCGGGCCGCAGGCCTCACAATTTGTGGCTGGCCAGCCGTTCCCCCTGCCCAATTCGTGTGGACCTACTGGTGGTACACTCGTCGGCTCGTCCGCGGCAAAGCTCGGTGCACGGCCAAGAATTTCCAAAAACCAAACTCCTGACGAAGCTTTCCTGGGCGAGGCAAGTTGGGATCATCCGGAGTATTTGGGTCGAATGGTGGGTCGAACTACAGAAACTGTTGAAGCCCTAGGCCCTGTATATTGCGACCTTGCTTTTCCCGCACCAGGCCTGATAGCGAAACAAAAGGCATGGCTGTGCAACAATGCGAAAACACATAGGAGCTAGTACCTGATTCCACGGATGTTTCACATGATTCCATGCCTTCACCGTGACATTGCTGGGAATGACACTGCCACTTGAGTCTACCGTTAAAAAGGCTGGTGGCTAATGTAGACCAGGTCACGCCACCTCCAAGATCGGCATACACAACTATGACTATGCCCTAACATAGGCCGCCTCCTGCTCCCTGGCAGAAAGGTGCCCTGTTCATGACTGTTATCCTTCACTGCAAAAACTTAGGGCGTGTGAGCAAATCACATATTTGTGGAATGGAAGTAATAACTACAAACACAACGTCGTAACATGGCACATGCTGGAGAGAGGCATGTGAAACACCCTTTCCCCAACATAGACCCGTTTCCGGAGTGGAAGGTGCGTTAAACAGCCAAAGATTCTGCTTAACATGGACCAGGCCAAAGGGTCTTTTGCTATAACGAAAGGAGGCTTCGCCATGCAGTGGGCGTCTCTCGAAGGCATCGCCAACACAACGATTTTTTGGGAGACTAAATTAGCTTTCGTGAGCGTAGATATATAAAAGTCTATATTGTTTTGAATGTTATACGATGGGGCATGAAACAGAGAACGTAAAAGTAGGTCCAATGACTCCCATGTCATCCTTGGTAAGACTATGCCTATGCCTGCTGTGCTTCTGTGCCTATGTATGTTTCGTCGTCTGGGTGACCGTGATGTGATATCCTCCCATGACTCCCATGGTCGTTTGATGATTGGATGCTCCGTGACTCCGTGATGCTACTCCATACGCACAGCATCCTGGACAAAGAAAATCTTTGGACACGCAAGTTCTCATCATCGCTAATCGACATACTGTATATATATAAAACACATACTATATTAAATATTATATATATCTGTGTGATCCCTCCCAAGACCCACATTTTTGTGACTTCTGATCTTGTGACCTGCAAGATCTCAATCTGCTCTGGATCAGAAGTGGGTCATACTTGGGCATGACCAAATATCTCAATCTGCACGAAATCTGAACTTGGGCATGTGCATCTGCCTTGCACAAGGACAAGCTTGAGAATGCATCTGGGCGCCATCATTCACTGCGTAGGCACAAAGAAAAAAACGGGTTTCCAACACTACCTTGTCTCTTTTCCAACCCAACACCCTCTTTGTCAAAGTATTTACTGTCTGGTTCATCTTCATTTTCAAACTCATTTGGGTGAGTTTGTTTTCTGACATTCTCTTGCTGGTTCCCTTTTCATGTTTGGATTTTTGACACCACTGGACATCAGATCCACACAGTGTGCAGTAACACCTTTTTCTTCTGATGCCATTGCTTTGCTCTTTCGTTTGCTTCCTTACTGTTTTCAGGGTTGTGTTCCTTCCATTCTTCCCTTTTTTGTTGGTAGTATTCTGTATTTTTGTAATATATTCTTGATTGTTTGGCTCTACAACTGCCGCAGGCCTTTAAAACCTTCAGTAAATCTATCTAATGTTCTGTTATTCTGACATCCTCTGCAATACTGTTGAGTAGCATCTATTACCTAGCATAATGAGACCCACTCTTTGTTTAAACACTTCTATGCGATCAATATTATATTTTACAAAACTTCATTTACACCAACAGTAAGCAATGCAATTATCTAAAGCATTGCTAATTTCATTATCCTTTCTTTGAGCAATCATATCAGATTTGTTGATATATACCATCCTTTCTGATATCTATATAATGTCAACCCACGTCCACAGTAAATTTAAATACATGGATTGGTTGTACTATCCACAAAACATTGGGCAAGTATTTCTCTATTATCCTTTCTATCCTGCATTTGCATTGTTGTTCAACCATCCTAATAAAGTAGCATGTGATATACTGTTTGTTAAATGTTCATCTTCAGTATCATCACTGCATTTAAAACGCTTAACTCTGCTTAAATCCCTAGCTCATGTGAATGCCGTCCAAAACCACTCACTACTATTTCTTGTCAGAAACTGGTTGTAGTCAAAGATGGTAATATCACCATCTATACTACTACCTTGGGCAGAATGACAAGTAAAGCAAGAGGCAAACATGAAATTGTTCCTTACATAATTGTTTTCAAACCCTTGGTCTCCTGACTTCTAATATCTTTCAACAACAAAAAGCATCACATACCGCTACTATTTCATATATTCAAAATTTACACGAAAAACTTTCCCATCAACCTTGGTGTATTCTCTGCACATTAGACTTTCTCCTGTTTCATATTCATATGTCCTATATTCTAGTTTCCTAATTTCTTTAGATATATTTTGCAGGTGTTATTCAGAAAGGCAATGTTATACTTACAAAAAGAACCATTGATGTCAGTTGTGCATGAACAACTTGAGAGGAGGGAGACACGAAAGGTAGGACAGCGGGAAGAGAAGAGAACGCGAGAGGCAGGAACAAAAATGCAATGTTCGACATGGTGATTTATCCCCTCGGAGGCGACCTGTCGTAAATATATGTTCATATACACTCTAATTAAATGTTCAAACATATGCTCTCGAAATGTTCAAACAGATTCTGAGGAAAACAAACTTGCCCCATGGCTCAGATCATCGGTGAGCATTGAATCGGAGCATCATAGAATTTGAACTATCCTGAAACCAAGAAAATTGGCTCACGAAGACGTTCCCCAGGAGAGAATTGACGTGCTTCACAAAACAAACTCTAGGTATGTATCCCCTCGGGGAACACCTTTCGTGATTAGAATTTCATATGCACTCTTTCTGAATGTTCAAGAGGGCTTCAACTATACTGAAATCATGAGAGGCTCATGAAGACGTTCTCCAGGAGAGAATTGAATTTAGAGGGCGGGGGGTCGGTATTGAAAAATCAATTCCAAGGGGGCGGGGGGGGGGGTCTGTATTGAGAAATCAATTCGAGGGGGTGGGGGTTGAATTGAATGATCAATTATTAGACGCGCCAACACTTGCTTCGCAAGACAAACTCAAGCTATCCCCTAAAGGGCTACCTTTCGTGATATTTCTTAACGATATAGTCCGGCCAGTGGCAGTAACCAGCCAAACTCAAGTCTGACATGTGTTGGTGTCAATGCGCCTCAAGTCTGGCAAGTGCTGGCGCTGACTCAGACTTGAGTTTGAGTCCAATACTCCAGGTCATTTCAGGAGGGTCTTGGCCCAGAAATCTTGGATCCAGGGCGGCCTGCTTGATCCTAGATCCAAGATGTCCTGAAATCTTGGAGCTTGGATCCAGCGCTGGATCCCAGATTCTGGGCCAAAACCCTCCTGAAATCTTGGATCCACTAAGATGGACTTGACAGACTTGAGATCGACAAGATTCTCCACTTGCCAGAATTGAGAAAGACAAGATTCCCCACTGGTCAGACTTGAAACTTGAGACCGGACTTTCCACTTCAAATCCCAAAACCCAGGTATAGTTATATACTGTAATACAATAGCTTGTTGGTATCGTTTGTATCTATATGTAGGGTTGAAAAGGTGGGTCCCGGGGGGGTACCATTTTTGTATCTCTGACCTGCACCTAGATCGACACTCGCAGGTCCAACCTGCTATAAACTGCTGCTTTTCAGTTCTACTCTTGTCAATGGGTGCCCAAACGCCTTGATGAGAGGGTGTCAGGACTATCAACGATTCGAACTTCAACATCAGGATGGTGTCAATCTCGGTCGATCAAACGATATGTTCTTTCTTCTGCTACCCAACTGCAAGCTGTGAGGATTCAAAGATCTATACAAATTTTGGCCTTCAAGCAGGTGGTGGGGCAAACAAATTTAACACACACACACACACACATATATATATATATACATACATATACATACATGAAGCACTGCTGAAGCAAAGGCAAGTCTCTGACCAGCAAAGAATTCCACACTTCCTGCCGGCAGGAAGAACTTCTGCTGCATTGGCTGGTGCGTATTGGAGGGTAGGGGTGCCCAAGTATCAGAGTCCGAACACCACTCCTATGGAAGATTTGGCCTTTTTTTGCTGAGAATGGGTGCCCACAATGGTTGGCCAGCGAGGAGGTGGAAAAAGACTCGTCCGAACAGTTCTACACAGTCACTGCATGTTTTCTGGCGAAGACCCTGAAGCAGGACCCTGTCTCCAGATCTGTGTGATGCGAGTTGATCAGCTGTGGCCTCAGCAACCAAGTACTTCATATGGAAGAACATCAACACGGGACTGCCCCAAATGCCCCCCAGGCACCAGCATGCCTTAGCAAAGGGATGGTCAACATGTTTCAGTGAGAACTAGTGAGGTGATAAACACTAAAGGATATTATAAACAATCCTGTAAATATCGTGAGGCATCGGCATACACTAGTATAATATGGCATAATTGCCAGGGTTACACACCTTGCACGAAGCCTTGACCCTGGTCTGTGCACTGCAACTCTTTTTCGCATTGTGCTTTACGCCAGCAATGCGTGCAGCGACGATGCCTTCTCGGGATCCCCCGAGAGCACGTCAATGTACAAAAGGCAATGAATTGTGGTCTCTGCGCCGGGTAAGAAAAGTCAAGCCAACGACTATATGATAATAATTACAGTGACAACCATGTGACATGTAGCTATATTTTAACCTACCACCCACATTCGCGTGTTTTAGTTTTGGGGCGTTCTTTCTGCTGGACCCCTTTCGTAGTTGGATCCTGAGCACCACTTTGGCGCCAGGATGCCATCTGTAGGATCCTCAGGCGAGAGGCCACCTAGAGCTGAGGAGGAACATGAGAACATGCTTAAATATCCAGGCGCCACCCAGATCATCAAAGCGACGAAGACTGTGTGGTAATCTGGTTCGTGGCTAACACGGGTCGGTGTCAGCATAATATTAGTACGCCCTCCTTCTGTGCAGGACGGGCTTAGATCACAGTCTCCTTGGGAGCGTCTTCGGCTCCCTCAGCTGCCAATGCATCGGGCAGCTTGGCAATCAACTTGTCAACATCTTGGCCAGGAAATTGATTGTGCATGGCCTCAAGGCCGCTCAAGGCTATGATTTCAAAATCTGGCAAGCCCAGCAACCACACAACTCTGAGGCTTTGGTTGTCAAAGAAAGAACGGGTCTATTTCGGACCGTTTGGGTATGCGGAACCGTTGACCACCAGACCATACACAAAAATAAGACAATTATAGAAAATGTAAAAAGCTTTCCGCATTCAATAAAACAACGTTCTCTGTGAAATCAACACCTGACGCAATGCAAATGCGGGCCCTTCAAAGGGTGCATGCCTCCATTTCATAGAGGGTATGTTCAAGATGATCCCAGAAATGTAGTAACAGCATCACGATACCCAAAGAGCAGCGGGTCGAGAACTGTTGAGAATTCTGGTCCGGTGCAACCGGACCTTGCAGCCTTGCAGCCTCTTTAGGCCCCGGGACGCCTCGCATGTCCAGACCATTGCAACCACTTAGTGACTTGGAAGCCAACAAGTTGTGTTGGACTGGCCCAAACCAGCTGATGTCGCCGGATGCCTTGCCCCTCGCCACCACACACGAACAGAAAACCGGATGACTCGATCCTCTCCCGCCTTCATCTTCAACAACGCCTCACGGAGCTCAGGATGTTCTGCGGCGGCTTCTTGAAGCTTCGCAGACGGCTCAGTTTCCTCATCAGTCGCCTGGATAGGTGCTGCATGGCGCTGCCCCAAAGTCAGAGTACTACGTGACCCAGGTGGAGTGAAGTCGTATGGCGTATGTTGGAAACAAACGAAACAGGTGTGTGAGCGCATAATCGGAAGAAAACCAAACGCTTGTCTTGGGAGAATGGTGAGGACAAACATACTGGATCGATTGATCGGTCACTTCCAAATCCTCTTTTGTTGATGGGTTTTGAATGGTTTTGACGCTGTCTGGCACTGAGTCTGCTGGTTGGGCGCACCAGCCTCGAACGAGAACCTTTGGTCAGGCTTCGAGCTCTTCTTCAGTAAGTGTCGAAACTGCATTGAGTAAATAACAAATCCTCATGAGGGGTCGACGGCACTGGGTCGCGTTCGCCCATTCGGTATGGATTCTTAAAATAGACTGCTAGCTGCTGGCCGGCTGGGGGAGGACTTCTTCAAGGTGATCATCGACACATGACACATCTACCGGGCCTCTTTCAATGAACGACATCTAGGTGTGGTATATCATATCCCATTACCAGTAACAAAGGATGATAGGTGCCAAATCCCTGACCAGCCCGAGACATTGCATCTGCCTACTTCGGTCTGCCAGCCTCCGGCGCAGCGGCTGCAGGTGCGGCAGGTGCGGCCGGTGCGGCCACCGCCTCTGCCTTATGCTTAGCTGCCTTAGCCCTCTTCTCCTTCAAGCAATTGGCAGGTGTTCGGTCAAAGGTGGCACCACCCAAAAAAAACACCTGGCAGTGCGGGTGGTGGTGTAGGTATTGAGTTGCGAGATCCAAGAACTGTCCGATGTTTTTGAATGCTCAAGGGGTTGGTCAGTATTGCTAGAAGCCAATGAATGCACGTACTATTCTGTACATATTTGCGCGAACAGGGACTCGAAGCACGAACCAGTAAATGCCGTAACCCTAACTTGTGCGAACACACCTCTTTTCCTCTTTGGCATACCATAGGCTTCCGCCCGCGGTCGCGTGCATCTAATTAAGAGTGCGAACACACATACAAACACATGGACACATAGGTATCCAAAAACTAGACCCAAATTGCGGCCCATCATCCGGAAAGAACGTGCACCTTGACTCCGTCCCTCAAAACAGTCTCTCCCAGTTCTCCTTCAAGGCTTTCAAGTCCTTCGCAGCCTTCACCTTGTCATCCGAGGAAATCTCCGGCACTTCCTTCGACGTCTTGGCGTCCCTGGCCATCGCTGCCGTGATTGGCTCCTCCACGTCCTGCCCCGTGACCGGTAGGGGTCGCCGCGCAGACTAGACTAGACACGCGGCAGGGAGAAGTGAAGGACGACGCGAAGGCACATGGTTTCGATCTTCGAAGTTCTTTGCGAAATCATGGCAAAATCAACTGGACTGTTTCCGTGGTTGTCGATATCACCACTCCAGGTAAATCAAACAACTGTATTTGGTGTCTATTATGTTTGTGTGAAACAATTGTTTAAAGCTTCACTTGTTGCTTCAATAAGTCTATTTTATGATCAAACATCTTAAATAATACGTTTTATCCAAACATCCCAACACGTAGTCTTTTTTTGTACTATTTTCAGCAAATATTTGAGATGTTGACGTAATAAATCATCATCATGTTTTAATTTTAAAGTCGACATCGCAATGACTATGCAAACAAGTCAAGTGTGTGTGTGTGTGTGTCTGTGTGTTTGTATATATTTTTGACAAATAACATTTATATTCATTGTATTTTACTTGAAAAAATCAATATAACAACTTGAGAGAGGAGGGGGTGAACGAAAGGTAGCAGGCAATCACAAGTAACCCTGGTAGAGGTCCATGACGCCGTGAACCGGCGCATGGGGGATTTGATCCAGGGAGGGGGGGCCCCCCCCCCCGACGAACAGAATCATCTCTTACAGGACCAAATTCAATGCACAATCCCAACTCCTGATTGTAATACATTTTTGCTAAAGCAAGGAGAACTCAGGTAGCAAGCTACCTTTCGTGACAGGAATAATCATTATTCGATAGAAATGGCACAACAAATATACACATATAATGATATAATGTATAAATTTATAGCAACAACAAATATATATATATATATATGTAATATTGACTAATCTACGTGAACATTCAATATTGAATATATTATGTGTATAATAAGTAACAAGCTTCTTGTTACTAGCAGCGGTGGCCTCCAAACTACTTGCGATGGCCTTCACCTACTAGCGTCGTTGCTAATTAGTAAATATATATATATTATATTGATATTGATTATAATTTAGCATATGGTTCAGGCGTGCACCGTGGACTGTGGACCTCAAGAAAGGAATTATTGAACCCATGGTGGGCCTTGTAGGGGGTGCCCTTTGGACCCTTCGCAGAAGCCTGGACCCAGCGTTCCCATCTATTGGGCCGGCCCGCACCTTTGTCGCAAGAGTGGTTGCTGCAGCTGGGGCATTCGGAGCCTTTGCCTCAAAAAACGCATGATGAAGTTGTTGCGTGAGTGCGCGGGAGTTTTGGGATGACGAAATGGAGGTATCACTTGGGATCCGAACAAAAATGACAAAATGTGTAAGTTCTGTCGTTGACTGACGCCACATATGTTGAATGGCTTCTGTAAAGATTATGAATGTTTATGGTGGACTTGGCACTACATGGTCAAAAAGCTTGCTGTTGGAATCAAGCGTGGAATAGGATGGATATGTCCACATATACTATCATATACTCACCCTTGATGACCTAAATGCTACAGCTGTCGTTTGCACCATCTATTTTGCTTTGCCCATTCATGTTAGCCTCACTCTAAAGCTCTAAAACAGAATGTGATTAGACCAAGACATACCGAAATGAACCAATTAGAACTGTCCGGCCAAGATTTCTAGATGTTCTATCCTCCTCCACTTTCATCTTTTCTGATTACACAAGAGAATCAGCAAAGAAAGATACTGCACTGTAGATCTGATTGATGCAACAAAGTGCGGGTAAGGTGAATTCAAGTCCAAGCAATGTCAACACACCTATTGGTTGGAGAGTCTGAAGTCTAGCATGCAGGAGAAGCAGTTGTAAGTTGTAAGGTCACACAGTATCAACTGTTAAATGCTGAAAATAGAGAATTGAGATAAATTGAGTCAACAGCTGGAACTATAGAAACAAATAACAATTTGATCCAACCGCTCGATTGGACTGCAGCCGCCGTTCCAGGCTCTGCACCACCCAGTATGATCAAACTACCGGCGTACCCTGTCATCCTACTGGTCGAGAATCTTGGAGCAGCACAAAACTACAGCAGAAAAAAGTTTGCCGAAGTCCAGTAGATAGAAGTTTCTAGTAATAGCAACGTGCATCGCTACTAGTAACAAGTCCATCGCTATTAGTAGCTAGTTTGCTACTAGTAGCTAGAAGCTACTACTAGCAAAGTGCATCGCTTCTAGTATCAAGTGCATCGCTATTAGTAGCTAAATGGCTAGTAGTAGCTGGAAGCTATTAGCAATAAAGTGCATCGCTACCAGTGACAAGTGCATCGCTATTGATAGCTAATTTGCTACTAGTAGTTAGGAGCTACTAGTGACAAGTGCATCGCTACTAGTGCCAAAATGCATCGCTACGAGCAACAACAAGTGCATCGTTATTAGTAGCTAATTTGCTACTAGTATCCGTTGGACTTCCTCATGAAAAACAGGGACGCCATTGAAGCCGCCAACCCGCCCTCCGATCCCTCCCGATCTATTTGACGCTCCGGTCGCCAAAGTGAAAACAGGAGACGCAGGAGACCAGACCGGTCGAAGAGAAAAGAGACCGGGTAGGGCCGGGGGAGGGCAGGATAGTGTGGAACATGGTATATAGCCATGCTTTTCAGGGATGAAATGTGTGTGTTTTTTTAAATGGGAAACTAACTGTCAACTGAACAGGCTATCAAGGCTTAGGAGGTGAAGTGAACAGCTCCAAGTGTGAGCCAATCAAAAAAGTCAAGCAGTCGGCGCACACCAATGGACCGAAATGAAAACAAGAGGAGCACAAAGGATGCCTTCGAGAAACCTCTACGTTCCTTCGTGCAAACCGCGCGTGATATTGGAGTTGGCTTGGGCTTTTGAGAACCCAGCGCAAGTTTGTGGAATGGTTGTAGCGAGTTTCTGGCTGCACCAAAATCACAAAAATACAATCAACAACCAAGCATGTGCTTTGCTTGCCTTTTGTTCGCTTTTCACAGCCGTCAAGTCCGCCAAAGAAATCTAGGTAATGAACAAATTGGTTTGTTCTTCTTGGCTGGTCTCACTTTTGCAAAAAAGTTGCTTCATACAAGCAATGATGAAACATAGGAAAATCATAGGAAGTGATTAACAAATATCTTATGGTTGGAATTCAGTGTGGTGGAAACAATGTCTTCTGTTTTGAACAAGTGTGTCTTTGATAGGCAGCAACAATAGGCATTTGTAGATTTTTCAGGAGTGGCTCCTGTAATAATAAAGAATCCCCGTGAGCCGTGTCAAACATGTGTATCATGTAGAAGGGGGACAGCAGTAAGTGGGCTCCACTAGCAATTTCTCCAAATCCCCGCAGAATCCCAGATTGGCGGGAGCCCTGGGCCTCCTGGAGTCGAGCCCTTTGCTTTTCCAGGCTCATCAACGTTCAACTGCATCCGCAGTCAAGTCAGGCCGGATATTGCTAAGCTCTCTATGCACAAGTCATCGAGCCATACGGCTGTCATCTGTCCTCATCACGCAGCTCACCCACCCAAGCGATTAGTTCCAAGCTACCTTCATTGCGGCCACAATCTTCGACATGGAGGGAGCCGCAGGTTGTGGCGGCTTAGGTGCCTCAAGCACCAGGCATGGACGGTGGGCAAAGGATCGGGGAAGCCTCTGGTGATTTGTATTTGGGATTTATGTTTTGGTTTATATCGTTGTTTGGGGGAACTTTCTTGCTGGTGCTGGGATGGCTGGACATGCCGATTTTGTGGCAGGCGTAGCACCTTGTGAACCTTGGAGTGCTGATCTTACCATCCAGGTCCTATGTCAAACGGCAACAGCCTGATGGCCGTTAACAGTGGGGTTGTGCTGGTTTTATGTCTACATGTGTCATATTACTGTAACACGTAGTGAAATATTCCAAGCCATAATGTCACTAAAGCAAAGGATCCAATAAGTTTGTTTCTATTGGCTGTCTTTATATTCGGTGGCAGGCGAAGCACTTTTTGAATCTAATCTCATTTTTGTCTCCCTGGGGCGGCTCACAAACAGCATGGTCCGTTTCCATGGTTCCTTCTGGCTCTAAATTCTGATAAATTCTGCCCTCATGCAACTCACAAAAGGTGCGTCATGTTGGAATGACGCCTTCCTCCTCTAATTTTTACCCTCAGGTTGGTCACAAAAGGTATGCTACGTGGAAATGGCCCCTCAAATTTGCCCCCGGGCGGCTCACAGAAGTTATGCTCATGGCTTCTTCCCGCTCTAAATTCTACCCTCAGGTGGCTCACAAAAGGTATGCTCTGTTTTCCATGGTTTCTTCTTCCTCTAAATTTGACCCCCCTCGGCTCACCAAAAGTGTGCTATGTTGGGATGGCTCCTTCCTCCTGAAAATTCTACCATGGGCAATTGCCCCTTCCTCCTCTAAATTTTACCCCCTAGTTTGTCACATCACCAGGCATGTTACGTTTGAACCCCTCACAAAGGTATGCTACCTCTGAATCTTATTCCCAGGCGGCTCACAAAAGGTATTCCAAGTTTCTATGGATCCTTGCTTAAATTTTGCCGAAAAAGGTATTCTATGTTGGAATGGTCCCTTCCAACTAAAAACTGTCACATGCCAGAACGAAGAAACCCCATTACCGGACACTCTGTTCTCTTGGGGCCAGAACCAGGAAGTGCAAAACCGAAGGAATGCATTGTAACCTTGTTGCTATACATATACAGTATCCCTTCCTTCCTCTCAGTCTCAAACATGTAGTTTCTCACTGCCTTCCATCCTTCCCTCCGTGCTTTCTTCTGTCTTTCCTTCCTTCCTTTCCTGTCCTGTCCTTTTCTTTCCTTTCCTTTCTTTTCCCTCTCTTCCTTCCTTCTTCCTTCCTTCCTTCGTTTCTTCCTTGTTTGCTTGCTTCCTTGCATGCTTGTTTGCTTCCTTCCTTGCTTGCTTGCTTCCATCCTTCCTTCCTGCCTGCCTCCCTCCCTTCCTTCCTCGAGTGCCGACCAGGAGAAACAAAAGAACACCCAAACAAAACACCAACATCATTATAAAGAATGCGCAAAATGGCCCTCCTTTTTCAATGGGCATTTTTTCTGAGAGCGTCTGAGCGAAGAGTATCTTCACATCTTCATTCTGCCTGCAATGGGGCTTGGTGTCATGTTGTTTCATCCCGTCACATCCCGTCTGACCCTGCCTGTGGCACAGCATTTGGCAACAATACCTCTGTGATGTTGCTGTGGCTGTGCTATGCTGTGCAGTTTGGCGAGGCTTTGGTGCATAGTGTGTGTTTGTGTGGTTCCGTGCCGTTGGGGAATGGGACACGTGTTTGTGTGTGTTTGCGCAGCAAGCTGGTTTCACTCTGTTTCATGGAGTTGCTTGGTGTCTAGCCTTCGACGCGCAGAAGAGGAAAAGAGGAGTCGCTTGGCGCCATGGTTTTGATGCTGTGCCACGTCCGTCTGGGCGAGGGCTGCGTGGCTCGTGCACGGCTGCGTGGCTCGTGCACGGTGCTTCGCGTGCCGAGCGTGGCATCGATTTGGCGTCGATTGGGTGGATGGCCTCGATGGTGTGCGTTCGGTGAATACGCCGCGATCTCGACCTCTGGTGTGATTGAGAGGGGACCCCAGTGATGTGATTGACCCCAGTGATCACTCACTTCAACGTGAAACCATGTGGGATTTGTTATCTGTGGAATCGGTGTTGCTTGAGGAGGAGGGTAGAAGTCACGTTTTGGAGACTGTGAGGTTGGTGGCGATGAACAAGATCTGCGAATCTGCGGTGGGATCATGATGCGAAGTGCCAGTGTTAAAAGCGCTACGACCACTACAAGGACTTCAATATTAGAGCACCAGTACATGACCTCCGAAGGGTGTGGTTTGCGCTGCATGTGTTATTCTCAGAGCAAAGGGAAGATTGGAACCTACTCTGCACAATGACTTGCAGGAGTTCCCCAACTTCTCCCCGAAACATTGACACCTGTGCCGCATGCCATTGGCAACGCTACAAGCAAATTCGTCGCAAATGATTGGAACCCTCTGGCTAGGAGAAACACGGCGTTTGGCGTCCTGGCCTAAAACACAAACTACATGGAAATACACCGATCAGCACACAGTATCATCGTTGGACTCTTTTTTGCTTCCCGTTTTCCCGACATTTCCCGACTGCACACAGGTTTTGCTAGTGAAAAAGCTGCGACCACTTCAACGCAAGTCAAAGAACAATTCTTTCCATGTTAAAACGGGAGCGAATAGCTTGGAGGCCATAGAACTATTACGTTGGAGGCCATCGCTAGTAGGTCGAAGGCCCAGACTCCGAGCCTGGAGACCTCGGGATCTCCCCGTGACTCGGGATCTACTGGGTTGGTGTGACAAACGTCGGCGACAGGACCAGTCATGTGGGCACATTGACATCTGCTGTCTTGTGCGTTTGCTATCACATCTGCATGGATGCCCATCAGTTGCAGGCGTGGCGGGTCCACGAAAAAAAACTCGCGTCATCACATCGCGACACTGAAGCCTCCAATAACAGGCTTCATAAGAAGCTAAACACAATTAAACAAAAAGGACCCCTATATATATATATATTATATATATACAGTATATATTCATTCTGTCCACTGACAGTCACAATCCATAATGCCGGTTAACACCTACAGTAATTCCTCTTGTTCGGCTCCCAATGCTATGACAATCTTCAGCTTGTTCTTTCCCACCTTTTCAACCCTTTACATCTCACATCTTCCTTTCTCCTCTGTCTTCCTCTTCCTCTTCTCCAGCTCAGGGACCACCCAGAACCACATCAGCAAACCTAATCAGAAGGTGATGCTAATCATACTCTTCTTGGCCAAGTTCGAGGTAGCAAGAGTGTTCCGGCAGGGACTTCAACGACGTGTAGTTTTTGTCCGGTAGCTGGTTTCTGCAATTTTAGGGGCTAGGTGAGCCAGGCTTGAAATATGCCGATGTGGCCTCCGTCTCCGCCGATGTTGGAGCTGGGGGCGTTGGTGGCGCTGCTGCTGCTGGATTGTGCTTGGCCTTGGTAGATGTGGATAGCAGGCTCCGGCAAGAACTCCATGGTCACAAGGCTTTGAACTGACACTTACTACAATGCTGAGGCTTCTCCAGAGTTTCCAATGAAATAATTGTATTTTCTCGTTCTTTGTAGTTCGTGACAACTAGCTGCTACAGCAGCACCCTACATGACCCTCCATGTAAAGATCTTGCCAACGGAGCTCCTCAATTAGGTAATTAGACTCATCATGGTTCATCCCATTCCAAAACATTTTAGATATAGATTATATACATATATTATACAAAATATGTGAATATGAAATGTGAATATAATATGTAGGTTTGGATGGAACATGCAAAGGAGTTTCACTTTGTGTGGGTACAAACCATTGAAAGAAGACCTCTAGTGATGAACTTATGTGCAAGTCCAGCTTGCTGTCTTCTTTCTGAACATTAACACTGACATTGAAAATGGACAGACCTTGTTAGAATTTAAGACGTGTCCTCTACAAAGAGGTCTTTTCCCACGTTCATGACCAATGGTATCAAAAGGGTGTCACCTGTTGAAATGAGCCTTTCGTTGTCTTGGCAAATCAACATGCCCATCGGTTCCCCATCTTCGCTGTTCCGTCCAAGCAGCTTTCAATTTACCCAGGAGACCGAAACCCTGAGCCTGCGCACGTCGAAGCCGTGGTGTGTTCAGTGCAAGATTTTCCAGAGGGAACCAGTTGATCTGTAGAAGTCTATTTTGCTTAAGGATTGATTGACTGGTTTGGAACAAAGTCAAGCAAAACATCCCCAACAAATCCATTATAGAAGCGATTCAGTTAAGGGGAAACCTTACACTAGCAATACCATATCTACAGTGTACAGGATGAATGGTCAAGTACTTACTGGTACAGTTTTGGGTGTGTAGTCATCTTGGTTTGCACCTGTAGACTTGCACGCACTCTGACAGGGAGAAGCACAAACTATGAAACACCTCTTGTTTCAGGCACCCTTCCGAGGTCTGCTCCCATGCGTCTGCGAGCGTGAGGTCACTGTTCCCCCCTTGTGAAACAAAACTTCAGGATGACAAATCCGCCAAAGCATCCCCTCTAGGCCTCTAGGCTCCATTGTACCACATTCCCGAAAAGGTACAGTTGGCCCATTCTTCTCCAACATCGTCACGGCTGCCGGCCTTTGGCATCTTTAGAAGCGGTATTTGGGTGGCTGGCGCAGCTTCAGCAGCCGCAGGTTGTGGTGGCTCAGGTGCCTCAAGCAGCAGGCATGGATGGTGGGTAGAGGATAGGGTGTAAGCCTCTGGTAATGTTTCAAGGGGCATTGTCCAAAGAAACTTCGGTGGAAGACTCCTGGCCCATGGCCAACATCAGCACACCTATTCAGAAAGTGATGCTGATATCATCCTCTTCTTCCGCAGGGACTCCAACTACATCTTAGGACTTCAGGGAGGGAGCAAACATGCAATCTTGTGGTTCTTGTCCGGCTGGGCCTCCATCTCCGCAGAAGCTGGAAGTGTTGGAGCCGGTGGCGTTGCTGACACTGCTGCTGGAATAGACTTAGCCTTGGTAGATGTGGTTAGCCAAGGCTCCAGCAAGAATTCCATGGTCACAAGGCTTTGACACTTACAATACTGCGGTTTCTCCAGAGATTCGATTGAATTAATTCTATTCCCGAGTGCGTAGCGAAGGGTTCTCGTTTAACTCTGGGGGTCTGGGGGTATAGAGCCTTGTTCGCGACGTGTTGTTTCTACGTCCCCAACCGTCCGCCGCCGTTCGCAGTAGGTCGCTAAGGCCGCTGCCATTGGGGGAAGCTTTTGGAGAGGGTTTCGGATGAAAACGTGACGTGTCAGATTCGTGTCAAATAGCGTGGAAACGTGTGGAAATGTAAGATGTTGAAGTATGGAGGTTGAGTTCACTGCACTGGCACAGCGTTTTGTGAGATCCGCAGTTTTCTGCGCAGCTCCATTGGGATTAGCGTTTGGAGAGTCGTGTTTTTGGGGTGTTGGATGTGGCTGTGCCATTACGATTTGCGTTTCAGGGTGTGGCATCGAAGCTCTGTTCTCGTGAGAAGTCTCAGCTGAAATGGCGAGTTTGGTGGATGGGAGTGTGCTCAGAACGGGTCGAAATCATTCCAAACGTGTGGTGTGGTGCAAATTTGTTGAAGCTCACATGACATGATATTGTCACTTTTCCTGGCAGGCGCAGTACTTTGTGCGGGTTCTGAGGTGTGGAAGTGCGAGTTTTGTGGCAGGCGCAGGGAATCGTGAGGTTGCGAGGTGTGACGGAGGCGACTTTTCGTGGCAGGCGCAGTACTTTGTGCGCGTTAGACGCGTGGACGCGGAAAGATTCGTGGCAGGTGCAGGGAATCGTGAGGTTGTGAGTTGTGGTGGAGGTGAGTGTCGCTGTGACATTGGGATTGGCGTGTGAGCGGGTGTTGTTTGGAGGGGCTGGAATCGCGAAACTGCTTGGCAGGGCTGTGTGATGTGTGTGCTCCGATGGGTGTTTCCGCTTGACTTTTGGAGGAAGTCTCGAAACGCTCGTTTTGCAGACTTTGACATGTGAGTTTTTGAGGAAAAGTCTCGTACGAAACGCTCGTTTTGGAGACTGTACGAGGACTTTTGGAGGACGTCTCGTACGAAACGCTTGTAGTGTATGGGCAGACCGTGTGGCGAAATTACGTCCTTGACGTCGCAGTGCCATTGGGAGTTGCGCGGCCTTGGTGGGAAGTGCGTTTGCGTGGAGCGGGATGATTGGTGGTATCATGTGATATGCTTGCTTCTATAGTGGGCAGACCGTGTGGCGAAATTACGTTCGTGATGTCGCAGTGCCATGGGATTAGCGCGGCCTTGGTGCAAAGTGCGTTTGCGTGGCGCCGTGCCACTGGGGAGCCCGAAACATGCTGGTGTAAACGGGGCGTGTCGCTGGTGATCGGGCTGATGGTTGGTATCATGTGCATGTTTGCTTCTAGTGAATGGGCAGACCGTGCGACGAAATTACGTTCGTGATGTCGCAGTGCCATTGGGATTTGCGCGGCCTTGGTGGAAAGTGTGTTTGCGTGGCGCCGTGCCACTGGGGAGCGCGAAACATGCTGGTGTAAACGCGGCGTGTCGCTGGTGAGCCGGATGATTGGTGGTATCAAGAGTGTCCCAAAAGAGTGCCCCGCAAGAGCTGCCTACAAGAGTGACCCACAAGAGTGTCCTATACAAGAATGTCCCACAAGAGTGTCCTACAAGAGTGTCCCACAAGAGTGTCCCACAAGAGTGTCCCACAAGAGTGTCCTACAAGAGTGTCTCATAAGAGTGTCCCACAAGAGTGTCCCAGATAGAGTCAGATAGAGTGTCCCACAAGAGAGTCCCGTATGGGTGTCCCACAAGAGTGTCCTATAAGAGTGTCCCACAAGAGTGTCCTACAAGAGTGTCGCATAAGAGTTTCCTACAAGAGTGTCCCACAAGAGTGTCCCAGAAGAGTGTCCCACAAGAGGGCTCCGTAAGAGTGTCCCACAAGAGTGTCCTATAAGAGTGTCTCACAAGAGTGTCCCACAAGAGTGTCCCACAAGAGTGTCCCACAAGAGTGTCCTATAAGAGTGTTCCACAAGAGTGTCCCACAAGAGTGTCCCACAAGAGTTTCCTACAAGAGTGTCCCACAAGAGTGTCCCACAAAAGTGTCCCACAAGAGTGTCCTACAAGAGTGTCCTACAAGAGTGCCCCACAAGAGTGTCCGACAAGAGTGTCCTACAAGAGTGTCATTTGGACATATGTAGCTTTTCGAACGTGTTTGCATTCGGGTTCGTGGGCTCCATCTTGTTCTTTTTTATGCTTTGTTGTTTCATTTTTTGTAGTTCATGACAAGGACCTGCTGCATCATACAGCAGCACCCTACATGACTCTCCATGGCAGGCGGAGCTCCTCAATTAGGTAGTTACGCTCATCATGGCTCATCCCATGACAAACACATCATATATATATGTATATATGATATTACATAAAATATGTACAGTATATAATGTGTGTAGGTTTGGATGGAACATGCAAAGGAGTTTCGCTTCGTGTGGATACAAACCATTGAAACCCCTCTATATAGTGATGAACTTCTGTGCATCTCCAGCTTGCTGTCTTCTTTCTGAACACTAACACTGACACTGAAAATGGACAGACCTTGTTAGAATTTAAGACGTGTCCTCTACAAAGACGTCGTTTCCCACGTTCATGACCAATGGTATCAAAAGGGTGTCACCTGTTGAAATGAGCCTTTCATTGTCTCAGCAAATCAACATGCCTATCGGTTCCCCATCTTCACCGCTCTGTCCCAGCAGCTCCCAAACTACTCAGAAGCCCCGATGCCTGCGCACGTCGAAGCCGTGGTGTGTTCAGTGCAAGAAATCCACAGGACAGTCTAAGAAGATTTGACAAAGGAGCCGGTTGATGTGTAGAAGTCTTTTGCTTACGGAAGTGGGTTCAGCCAACGGGAAGCCTAAAAACTAAAAAATCAAATCTACAGAGTGTTCACGTGGGTTCACGCTGTTCACCTGTATGTACCTTGAAGGTTGCACATGTTCTCACAGAAAACTGTATAGAACAACAAAAACTGCTTGTTTCAGTACCCTTCCGAGGTCTGCTCCCATGCATATTTAATCATATTTATCTGCGAGTGAGCTCCCGTCCTCCTTGTGAAACAAAACTCAGGACGACCAAAGCAACAAATGATTGACATGGGAAGCATGGAAAAAGAGAACTCCACTGGCTAACTCGTCTCCCCCCAAGAAAAATGGAATTCCTGATGTGGGAAGCAAGGAACACTGAGTGAAACGGTTGACCCATTCTTCTTGAACCATGTCTGCGGTTGGGGCCTCAGTTCCAGAAGCGCTTCCATCAGCCGAGGCTTTGGCCTCGGGTGGAAGCTTCCCACCGGTACTGGTGGTGGTTCCACCACACCCAGACGGCGAGCCGGGACCGAAGGAGAAACATGGGGAAAAAACCGCCAGGACAGTGACCGAACTTGAGATCCCAGAATGAGGTCACTTATAGGCTTAGTAAACGGTCACCTCCAAAGGTCTCCAAAGAGGTCACTTAGGCGGGTCCTGGAGTAGGGTTGTTTCTTTTCTGCTCATGTGAGCCACTCTAAAAACCTGGAGTCACTCCCTATGTCGTATCACTTTCCTTGCGCGAAGCCTTACGCGCTGCTTACGCGGCCCTCACTTTTGCTTACGCAGAGCAAACTTCCGAAATGCTTACGCGAAATGCTTACGCAATCTTACGCAACCCAGGGTTTTGCTTACGCGGAATTCGATATGACAAGGTCCTTACTTAAGATGTAAAGGCAGGTTTTTAGAGCGGCTCATGTGGAAGTTCCGGCGCCCTATCGTTCACTCCATGGCGCCGAGTCACCTTCAAAGCTTTCAAGGCACTCAATGCTTGCATCTGCCCGGTGGCTGGTGGAGCGGACTGTACAACTTTGGCCAGCTGGTCGATTTCGAGATTCTGTTCATCAGTCGCCGCCTGCGGATTCTCCGCCGGCGGATTCTCCACCGCCGGCGGAGTCGCTTCAGCCAACGACTGTTTGTTGACCTGCAAACATCGGACGAGGGCGGCGTTCGGCTTCGTGGATCGCGGCTTCTGAACATCAAACAAACCATGGAGATCTTGAAGTCCTTGAGCGTACGAATCAAGCATCTAAGAAAATCTCTCATCAAGGGCACTTCTCTGGCTGGGTCTGTGAACCAAAACGGGAGCGCAAGTTGCACATCATTTGGGCATGCGTGGGATTCATATCATTTGGACTTCGCTCGGTCCCTCAATCGATCCCTTTACTTACTGCCCCGCCTTTTTGGCAATTCTGGCATCTCTGCCGGTCAGCTTCGCTGGGTTGGCAATGATCTTGGCCACTGCAGTGGCGGTCTCATTTGCGCTCAGTCCGGGATTATTCACCACCGTGTCGTAGATTTCCTGAAGAGCTGCACGAGATCTGGGGATCTTGGAGGACCTTCTCCCATATCTTCCAGTTGTCCTAAGGGATACACATCTACAGACTACAGACTACAAACACAAAAACAACAAATTCACCGTCCCCCTCCTTTTCAGCCCTCATTTTCCGCTGGCCCCGCTCGCCCTCGCCTTCACGGCGGCCGGGTCGATAGTGGCTCCTCCCGGCGGCATTTGGTCGCCGTTGCAGGCGGAGAAGGCGGCCACCGCGGCTTGGGCGGCTGCTGGGTCGAAGTCACCGGAAAAATTGGGATTGACGTTTTTGTTGTAGGCTGCCTCACCGGTGACGAGCAGGGCGGTGGCAAGAGACACAAGGCGGCAGAGCCGAGCGGGTCCGGTACGATGTCCGAAGGATCGGAAGGGTGGGTGGTGCTTGGTTTTGGTGAGCACAACTAGGAGGGTATGGTGGTCATTCAGCGTTTCAGGAAGCAAACAGTGGGTGTGAACTCTGATTTGGTGATGTGAACAGCCCTTCCTCAATTAATCACCAAGGTGAAGTCTTGCTGCCGAGGAAAACATTTTGCTGCCGGCAGAACAGCTCAATCAAGCCAGTGTGAACCACCGTAAACACCTTCTTAATCGGATTTGGACAAGTAGCTAGCAAAAATGTGTAAGCTTCCACATGAAAGGCTAAAATGAAACTTTGGTTGGCTTAGCGTGCTTGGCGCTATCGGCATGACCAGGATCCCTTGAAAATATGCTGTGTGACTCGAGTGATGTTCAATTTGATGATGCGTGTCGCCAATATATAACATATGATATATTGTAATTTTATATCACACACCAAGTCTTCCACACACTGGGTTCCTATGAACTCTATCACCGACAAATTCTTTTAAATAGTACTTTCTGCCGAATTTCAACTGTGGCTCAGTGTGATCATGATCATGAACATTTGGGAACATATGGGATGCTGCTGGAGCATATCGGCTATCTTTCGTACATTGTGAGCACGCTCTGGAACAAACGTGAGCTTGTATATTTTGGAAGTTTGTGGATATTTGCTGGTTACTGTATTTATATATATGCATACACATGAGCAATGCTTTGTGTGTTCTACTAGAGCTGTCACGGTGGCAGGGTGTTTCAATGGTGCTATTTGGTTGGGCATGTCAAAGTTTGTTCATCACGCACTCTCCCTCTCTCTCTACAGAAGGGTAAAACATGTATTCATATGTATTCTACAAGGGCTGCCACGTTTAATTTGTCCTTTGGAAGCACTGGCGGATATATATATATATATGGAAAGCCAAATGCCCGACAGTTTCTGGTCATTATGGGAAAAAACTGAAATGTTACTATAAATTATGATGCCTTTACCCGTAATGACCCGAAAACATGGTAGAGTATGGCAGGCCTACCCGTAGCAAAACCAGATTGTTTTTTTTTAAAGCCGTAGCCACTCTCACACAATGGCTGCAAATAACCAAAGCCGTCATGACCAAACAAGTTGCCAGGCTGTTGTACAGTTTTTTTTCTTATCATATAGCGCGTATAGCATTGCCATGCATCTCATATAATATATATATATTATTCATATATATAATATAATATAATACAATAAAATATAATATAATATGATATAATTTAATATAATATTTATGTGATTTTAGACAATGAACTAATGGTAACTATCGCTTCTACAGCCCGACCCGACCCCCAGAAACAAATTCCTCAACACCCAGTCCAGTCCAGCCAGCCTTAGCACATTCTGCCTTCACCCAAATCTTCTTCCATTCAGGGTTCTTGTGCGCATCCTGTTTCTCTTCCTTCCTGGATTCCAACGGAACGGGTGGGACGCCCCCCGTCCCGAGACATCCGAACGATGACCGTTTAACCGTAGACTGGTGAGTGGACGACCAGGCCCTGGCCAAAAGGGCATGTCCCGGTATACCAGGTTGCATGATGATGGGTAGGTTGTAGGCCTTTCACTCGAAAATTGTGATAATTGTTGACCGACTGTCACAGGCAGTGGGACAGATCCAAGGCTAGCCCCACAGTTGTTAAAGCGAGTGCAGCCAGCTTCGGGATGAGATGAGATCTGGAGACCATGGTCTTCACGAAGAATTCAGATCATGGCTTCATCTATGCCAGCCCCCTTCGCAACCATAAACCTGCCTTCTGACCCGTCTACGCAGTCTTCAGCTCTCAAAGTATCTCAAAAGTATCTCAATACTAGCTATCAAGTATCAAACAAACCATGGCACATGTTGCAAGGGCACCCTACAATCCCAGGATCTTGGAGGTGAATTTCATTGGCTGTCATATTGTCCGTACGACCGCCCCACCCAAGCCCCATGTCTGTCTCGGTGACCAGTGTCTTAGCAGCAGCGGTGACGAGCTCGGCCTGCTTCTGCGCACTGAGGGGTTTCCCCATCATTGGTGCCAAATCCTGCAGGGTCTGAAGCGACGGACGGAACCCATCACCCATGCCTGTCACGGTCCTAACTTACGCCTTCAACGCCCTCCCCTAGCAAGTCCGTGCCTTAGCAGGCTGACAGGGCCACTGCCCAAACATAGCCAAAGGAATGCATCGGAACTGAAAGGTGCAGCCCAAACTATCCATATGTATATATATATATCCATATCATCAATTGCTCCGCGCAGAAGAACATCAAGCTGGTCTTCCAATTCAATGCTGCTTTTTCCAACCCTAAACCGTGCCTCAGAACTCTCGTCCCTCGCCCCGCCTTGCCGATCTTGCTGTAGAGCGATGCGACGGCCTCGGCCTGGAGCGACCCGGGCAAGGGCGCGGCGATGTTGGAGAGTTCGTTCCAGGTCTTGGGGCCGTGGTTCATCTGCTCCCAGTCCTGGGCGTTCCGAGTCAAAACGGCCCGAGCTCAGCCCGAGCCGAGCCGAGCCCAGTCAGAACCGTGAAAAATGGACAGCACACTTCCAACTGCCCTGGGGGCTCCACAAAGCAACTGGAACAACATCAAGTGAGACCCAATTAAGACAAAACACTAGAATATACTAGAATTACATTTACAGGCACGCAATAAAGCATAACCGTAGAACCGTTTCCCCAAACAATGTTAGCAATGTTTCCTTTCTGTCATCCCCTTCCAAACAGATTCTCAAAAAGCAAACGGCAAAAAAAAACAAGCAAGCGAGCGCCAAAACCTCTGTAACCGTTTTTCGGTATTTAGGTACGAGTATCAGCTTTTGATAGCTTGCCATTCCTTTAGAGTGTCTCTTGAAACACTGTAACAAAAGTCGTGAACCACACATGGACACGGCTAGAGAGAGAGAGAGAGAGAGACAGAGAGAGAAGGGGAGAGAAAAACAAAGAGAAACATGAGAGAAATGCAATATGCATTGATATACTATACATTCACTCATATTCACTCTATGCTATTGACATGGCAACCTTCCTTATTCCGCCATCTGGTGAGGATAGGAACTCCGCTCAGCTAGACAACATCTTACAGTAAACATTGTTTTTCATTGTTTTTCCGCTACGTATCGCTCAGGCATCGCTGCAACATTTGCAGTAAGTACAAATTGAACCATTTTGAATCAAATGATCCAGGTGGACCTGTTTGGGTATCGTTTCTAGTCTTTGACCATGTCACTTTACATGGTCCCCTTACGATCCAAAACGCCTCCGACACTACCTCCGACACATTGTGCACAACCCCCTTCAGGATGTCACTCAAGTCTTGTCCAAGCCTACTTCGAGCACCAAGTGTCGAAGTGAGTAATGTTCAAAGCCTCCTGCGAGCTGACCCAGAAGTCATTGCGGAAGACATACAAGACGCCCGTGAAAGCCACAGGAACACTCCTCTGGAACATATCCATCACCGTCAAGCGGCCCAAGCCCGGGAAGCCAAACTGCTCCTTGTAGCCAGTATCCTTGGCACAAAGATTTGCAGTTACCACGGATGACTTAAAACCACCGTGTTCATCGACCTTCGGAAGAAGTTGTCCACACACCCTGGCTAGACCACTCTCTGGTTTACTGGTGAGATTGTGTGGGATTTACGTAAGATTCCTATGGTTCATGAAGTTGAGCGCAGCACCACACCGGTCTGGAACTGGTCCTTCCCATGTTTTTCCTGATCAAATGCCAACCCAACCACTGTCCTGACAGCCCAAACCAAGGATACCAAGCATCAACTCTTTGACCGCCAACTTCCACAAAGGTCGGAATGACTTGACTGAACGTGTCATTTGCCTCGTTCACCTCAAGAAGCTCTGGGAAGGGAAAACAACCTCATGCAAGTTACCTGGAGCCTGCTGTGAAATCGCAAAACGCGTTGGATTCAAGCAGCTGCAATAGAATCATACATATACATGGACTGGCTCCCCTCATCGCATGTTCTCCAACGTTCCTTTAACATATGGGTTCATCTTGGAATGCGATATGCTAACCTTTTGGCTAACCTTGGCATGAGCGCCCTTACAAGGTTAACTTCACCATTCGATCTGCCCAAACCGTAAGCATCCAGGGGCACTATTGGACATTCAATGCTCCTTACATATTGGACACTCAACCTCAAGCAATATCCAAACGCCTTGGAAGTGGCATTTGGAACATGCCAGGAATTGTGTGCTAGCCATAGTAGGCTGTGGAACTTCTGAACGCACAGCCAGCATCAGTCACCAATTTTGTTTCATCCTCCTCCCTCAAACAATTGTAGAAGCCTATACCAGGGCCCCTCCTTAACCAAAAATCCACCCCCCCACCCTCTGATTCAATTATCCTAGGTGCAAAGCACTCAAAGTAGCACTCAAAGCACTGTGCAAAGCTTTTTCTACATGTATGTGCCTATGGAAATTGCAAATACAGTTACAAATACATATGTTGAAAATTGTTATTTGTTCGAAGTACCTACCTGAAGTGCGTACAGGTCAAGGCATGAAAAATGTAAGTCATGGCCCGTTTGCAGGCGGCACTCTTTTCGTTCCGATGACGGGCGAGCCCTGGGACGTGCACCACATGGTGCTAGAATTGGTCCAAAGGCAACCAGGAGCAAACAACGGTTCTTGTTGAACCGTTGGCAATGCTCTGTCAGAAGAGGGTTGCTTCAAGCCAACAAAGTTTCCTGAACTTATTGCCACGGCGGTCTCATGGAGGTGCGAAGAATTGCTTGTTTTGAGGCCGCTACTATATGGTTCTTCAATCGTGCTAAAAAGATAATTACTGTATTGTATCAACAACCTACTATTTATTACATATCAAAGTTTGTCTGTTTAGCACAGGCTAGTTCTTTACAACAAACCAGTGTTTGGTCAGGTGCGCAGACACCCTCTTTGGGCCGGACCTTCAACCCGTTCGGGCCCCGACCTGACCAGTTCGGGCCCCGACCAATTTGTCTGGACCGGTAAGTGATCCTCAAATCTACTGGCCTGGGCAAAAAGGGCACTCGTTGACGCGAACTAGGTAGCTCTGAACTTTGACTTGCCAACGCGATCGAGGATCACGACGTGCAGCGCTGTACAAAGCTGGGGCGGCAAAGGCACTTCCGATAGCTTTGCCTCAGGCGCCCTGGACGGAGTCAACCGCTTTTTGCGCGGACCTGTGAAACCAGGGGTCCATTTTATACAAGAGATGTGCCAAGTACATGATCAACAATGACAAGAAACACTCAACACTCAACAAGGAGGCAGAGAAGAAGGTGGCTGGCAATCCGCAGATCAAGCTGCTGATGTTCAATCCAAATCACCATCGGTCTTTCAATGAACTTGTGGCAGCGGCAGGCACCGTGAAGGAGAATGGTTTTGTTCTAAAATTTCCGTTTTGCTAGGGCTTGGTTCGTACTCTACTGTTTGCCTCACTGGAGATCCAGGAATGCTCGGAGGCGGGGGGGGGCGGTGGTGGTCCATTGCAACTAAATGGTGGCAGCTCTTTACAGTGGCCTGATGCAGTGGTCCTCCTCGGAATCAGTGGCCTGTCAAGATTTCATCATGACATGTTGTTCACTTTTGACCTTTGGAACCTTCACTTGTTGTGGTTTTCATTTTGTGTACTGTGTGGATTTGCTGGCAAAGCTGAAACTTGAGGTTCAACATGTCCGACAACTGCGCCCGTCAGCGGAGTTTGATACGCCGTGACTTGGTTGCCAACTTGCTTGGGTTGTTCTTGAACTTGCTGGCTTTGTTTGTTTGGATTGTTGATTCAAGTTGTATGTCATTTCAGCTTTCTTGAAGCTGAGGAAGAAAGGCAAGGCCAAGGGCAAAGGCAAGAAGAGGTTCAGCTTCGTTCAGGAGGTCCAGAAGAGGATTACCCAGCTGCACCATGCGTTCACCTGAAAAACATCAGCGCTTGCATTGATGCTTGAAAAATGTCTTGCGTTGCAGCTTTTGGCATTGAGTGTAGGTAGCATTGTCCCCTTGATGTTCAAAAGCTTGTTTGAAAAAAATACTTTCAGGTCATGCATCCGCATGGCTTCAGTGTTCACAGCTGGGTCCTCGGTCCTCCAGCCTCAGGACAGGATAATTCAGTCAATGTGCCCTAGTAACAATGATCAGTTCAGAGCTAACAAGTTGAGTGAGTTCGCATCAGCAAGCTGTTGGCCTTTTTTCAGCTGAGATATTCGCAGTGTGAGACACACACTGCCCCATCATCAGGGCTTCCTCACGTTCGATCTTTCGATCGTTTCTTCACAGTCTTTGGATTTGACTTGCTCTCGCTTGTCTTTTTGGCCTTCAGGGGCTGCACGTCCGTCAACCACTCCAGGGGCTCCAACTTCATGGCGCTGACCTGGCCAGCATACTTCTTCCCAAGGTTGGTGCAACGATCCTAAGTTGAAAACACACATTGGCCTGGAACGTAAAAGTGGCCATGCGTGGAAGTTACCCAGCCCTGCGAACCCGGGAGACCAGTTTAACGAGTGCATATTTATAAGAACGACTTTCACTGCATGACTCTGCACGCCCGCTCTCTGATCACTTTTGGTACACTTCCTCCGATCATCGTCGCTTCCAAGCAGCCGACATGGTGGTTCACGGGTGTTTCACGAGTGTTTCACGGGTGAATCACGGGTGAATCATGGGTGAATCACTGGTATCGCCAACTAAACGAGTACTTTGGTGCATAGGGCAAACAGGAGCTACCCAGACAGGAGCTGCTCGGTAGTAGGTGCAAACATGAACCCCCGAAGCACCAACTGATAGCCGGCAGCCACTTGAGTTCGGGGTTTCAACTGTTTGACTTCCAGGTGTTCGCCCAGCTTGGTGCGGATGTCTCTAAGAGTCAATGCCACCCTGGTGGTCATTGTCGTTGTTGTTTCATGCATATAAAACGATAGCCGGCGCATTCTTTTGTGCGACCTTTTTCCTCTTTTCTTCAGACAAGGATTGTGAGAAAAAGGTCGCGCAGTAGGTCGCGCCAAAGATGAGTCCAAAGATGCCATTGACAGTGCCATTGATTTGCTGGACAGTATGCTGGACATGACCCGGCTGCCCGAGGACGACGCTTGCCTGGGGTGCGTGGCCGGAACCCCGAGACTGGCGCTCAGTCTAGTGATGTCTAGTGTGAGGATAGGCAATTCTTTTCTCTCAATGTGGTCTGAGCCTTTTTTTGCAGAGCCAATTGAGTTTAAAGCTTATTTGCAATGGCTGGAAACACACATTAGAACAGTGGCAGGCCCTTGTCTTACATGATTGACAGCTGAGTGTCTCCATACTCCAAGAGCACCACACTAGGAAAAAACGAAGTCATGCCCAGTGTCATGCTCATCATGGGCCTGACAGCGTCAGTGATGTACTCAGCAGCAACAATGGACAATCTTCCATAACCTGTGCGTGACGATGGCCGCAGCGGGGGAAGACGGTGCTCTAGATAGTGCTCTAGATGCTTCACGTGTGAAGAACCTGACAACGTCTGGCAGCCCAGCTTTTGTCACGTCAGAAGATATTCATTTGTTTTGTTTCATGTGTTGACCCATCATGGAAACATCACTCGTGACATGTCCAAAGGGTCCAGTGCCTTTTGCTGGGGTTGCGCCTTCAGAAACACACAGCAGCACAGTGCGCAGCTCAAAAGAGTCCTGTTCAGCGATGTTGTCAGTGGCATTTGTCACTCACAAGCTTCTGTTCCTTTCGCGCGAGGATGGCCG